TCTTTTACATAATATTAAAGAAGTAAATACAAGCGATAAAATATAAAATTTGAAAGAAATCGTTGGAATAGTTCCCGAGAAGGTAAATTTTCAATGTACGACTTTTTTTCGACTCCTCCGGCAGTTTGCCTTCTTTAGGTATACAATGGCGGCTATGGACTAAGAGGATACTCATACCTAGTAATTATTTCTTTTCCTTGAGCGTTAGACATTTGTCATGTTTTTTTTAATCAGCTTACCTGGAGTAGTATTTACGACCATTGTCTGACTTTATTTATTTTTATATTTAGTTTACAACTGTTTTATTCAGTTACAAATGATGCTTATGACTTTTTTTAAGATAACTTCGTAGTTCTAGTCTACTTCTGCTACTTAGTCTACTTAACTGTTCTAGTTTTATCCAGTACATTTAATAATTCTAAAAATATATTTTGAAAGCAGTAATTACGGGACAAGACGTATCAAAATGTTTAAATTTTTTGTATCTATGCATTGAAGGTTCGTGTTCGAAAAAGATTTTGATTTAGATGCGTATATATTTTATGTCATATTTTTGCTATATTTTAACAAAAAGACATTCTTATCAAACTATGTGTCTTTTGGCATTTGTATAAATAAATGTCACGGCTTCCTTCTCACCCACCCAAGAATTTTATACGAAATTGTTTTGAGATCATTTCGCAAATCTCAGTGGTGTATGGATCACTGTAAAAACGGCAAAAAAAATCAAGATATTGAAGTTGATTAATTTTTTATTTTTTGCTGAAAAGTTTAAAATTTGTAAACTGGAAATTCTCAATTGAAAAATCATTTAAAATCAGCTGATAATCTTAGCTAACAAAGGTTATATTTTACATTTTCAATATGTGAAATGTGCAAAAAATGGGTATAAATGTACGAATTTATTTCAGCGAATTCTGCTGATTATTTTAATTAGGAGAAAATTTTTATAAAGAATTTATTTTAACTGTAAAAAAGAAAATTGCTATAATTGGTTCTCTCTCTCTCTCAAACGAAGCAGTAGGTCGAGTAAATCTCAGAAAAAATTTATAAATCTCACTCTATTAATTTATGGAAATATTGCTATGGTTTCCTTTATCTAATTATCGAATAAATTCTTTTCAAAAGTAGACCATATAGCCATGTTATTTTCCAAGAAAAGGTGAAAAAATACGAATTTTTATTAACCTTTCTGGAATATATAAATGTAATTAATCGGAAATGCTCCAAATTTTTAACTAAGATTTCAAACTGATTTCAATTTCTTTTAAGCCTGGATTCTTTGTATTTTCCCAGACAAAAGCGTATGTGGCTAAAAAAATTATTATTTTTCCAAAAAACGTAAAAATAAATAACTACATAATATACATACTTACACACACACACACTATATATATATATATATATATATATGTGTGTGTGTGTGTGGGAGTTAGTGCAGCATTAGATGAAATAACGACGATAATTTAGCAAACATAACAATTTAATAGAAATAAAAAGGATAGAAGGATATAGCAGTTAACATTATTGACATGTCTCGTGAGAGTTGCCTTCTCGCAGTGGTCTCCGGAATGCATGTGACTAAGAATTAGATTGTTCTATGGTAGAAAGTAAGAGTTAATTATAAATTCGGGAGTTTCCCTTCGGGACTGGCTGGCGCCTCTCAATGTCAAGAAGGATGATGCAACTATCTTAAAGTATTACGTGATGACTAGAGCCCGGAAGTTCAGGCAAAATGCCATAAATGCCCTTTTCTGCCTTTTTTAAACGTTTTCTTCTGAAAATGCCTTTTTCTTTCCTTTTGTTCATAAATGCCTATTTCTGTCTAATTTAAAATTTTTCTGCAAAGCTTTTTGTGCTTTTGACCGAGCATAAACGCAAAATGAAGAAATTTTGAAGTACAGAAATGGTTGACTGTCATCCGACGTATTGTAATGCATTTATAGAGATTAGGACTTTATTCCTTTTGTCTTATTAATATTTTCTCTCCGTCTCTTCGTGGCGTCACCTTCGTCGTGGCGTCACCTTCGCCCGATGCGCTTTGCAAGGAGAGAGAGAAAGGGAGTGAAAAGATTGGAGTTATTTTTACTTACAGTCAATAGAATTTATTCTTACTTACGGCCCATATAGCCTACACCATCGAATAACTCGTATGCTCTCTTATCTACAAAACGAATTCACCAAGCTGGTTGAGCACATTGTAGCAGGAGCACGAAAAAGTTTTCTAGTATACTAGTTATTTCTAAAATGCCTAAAGTAAAAGCCTGCACAAGCAAAAAACTGGACAGTTTTGTGAAAGAATTTGGGTCGGATGTGTTTTCTACTGATGGGAGCATTCTGTTTTGTAAGGCATGCGAGAAGTCAGTAAATTTTGAGAAGAAGTATTTTATATCTCAGCACTTGGAGACATCTAAGCATAAAACAGCAAAAGATAAAAAAGATGGGAAAACATCGACTCTGATTTCCACCTGTTTTCAATTATCTTCTCGCAAATCGGAATTTGCAATGGATTTATGCAGATCATTTGTAGATGCCGGCATTCCGCTGTGGAAACTTGAAAATAAAAGTATACGAGCTTTTTTGCAAAAATATACGAATCAAAGTGTGCCCTGTGAATCAACTTTAAGGAAAACTTATTTAGATGACTGTTATACCGAAGTTCTTAAAACTATTCAAAATGAAATCGGAACGAAAAACATATGGCTATCTATAGATGAAACGACAGATGTAACTGGACGATATGTTGCGAATGTTATTGTTGGTGTTATGGACCCATTTGAAAAACATAAAATCTTTTTGTTGACATCTGAACAGTTGCAAAAGACTAACAGTACTACAATTGCACAGTTGTTCACTAATGCACTGGCTTTACTTTGGCCAAATGGTACTGAGCATGAAAGAGTGCTATTATTTCTTACAGATGCAGCCTCCTACATGAAAAAAGCTGGAAATGCCTTAAAAGTTTTATTTCCTAATATGATCCATCTAACGTGCCTTGCTCATGCATTGCACAGGATAGCAGAGGAAGTAAGAGGTCT